GAGAGAGAGAGAGAGAGGGGGGGGGGGGGCAGAGAAGAGGTGGTGAGAGGAAGGGAGAGAGTGAGAGAGAGAGAGAGAAAATCATAAAAATGAATACAACAATTGGTTGGATTTTCGTGGTTAATACGCGTTGTTGTAATCACGATTGTGATCCAGCAAAGAAAGAACCCGCATATCAATGAAACTATCTATCTACATATGTAAACAACACGTAGAATAGTACCTACATATGTATGTACATATATGCTTACCCTCGTCGTGCTGGATGGGCAATCGCTTCGTCGTAAGCGCCAAGCTGACCGACGTTTTGTTCAATTTTAGTTTCCGAATAAGGATAAACTATTACGCTCGGCCATTGCGACGACGGACGTTCCTCCTCGCTATGGGAACTGCTCTCGTAATCGTTCGGACTATCCTCCTCACTCCTGGAAAACGCGAAACGTTAAAAAATATTTGAGAATCTGACTCGATGCAAACGTGCAACGAATAGCGTGCTATTATAAATCGCAACCGCAACGAACCGATACATTAATCCTGCAGGATCTTCGTAATCGTGGTCTCTACTGCGTTTCGGAGCACTCATGCCAGCTAACGAATCCCAGTTTTGATTGGATCTCGTACCAAGACCTGACGATTGCTGATGACTTCCTGCAGGCATCTTCTTACCACGACGAGAGATCGTGTACTGCAAAGGATCGTGACCTTCCCTTCGAATCATTTCCGGCAGAATTCGTCGTCTAGCATTTATAAACCAATTGCAGACCTATGAGAAAAACGTTACGCACATAAATACATACTCATGTTTGGATTTTGTGTGCGTGCGCGCGCGCGTGTGTGTGTGTGTGTGGTGACAAGTGAACGAATGAAAGTTGTACAGACCTGTAGTACCGTCAAGTTCGCTTCTTGACTGAGCGTCAACTTCTCGCTGTCGCTTGGATAGGCATTGTATCTGTGCTCATAAAGCCATCGTTTCAGAATTTTCACCGAATGCTTTGGTAAATTTCCTCGACGTTTCCTCACGGAATGCGTGCCAGAATGATGAAGTATTCCAGAATGGACCTTTGCGCGTAACGCGTTTGAATCGTGTTCCGTATCGGAACCGCTTTGATCGTCGTCAGTGCTGCTCGACGAAGGAAAACGTTCCCTTGCTGAAACATACGAAGCAAGTGTTATTCAATTATACCAACGACAATTCATTTTTACGCTATCACTCGCAAATGTATATTCTCCTTTTTGTTCCCTGTCTCGCTCTCTACTTCCTTTATTTGCCGCCTCCAGTTTAGGTTCTCGTTAGGTTTTTCACCACATATCTGAAACGCGCAATTTACACGCTTCTTTCGGCTCTTAATCCAACCATTTTTCACACACTTTATCCTTTATACAGATGATACTCTCTTATTAAAGTTGATACTCTGCTCGCAAGCAAAGTGGTAAGAAGGTGTAGAACACTATTAAAACGATTAAAGTATCAAGAAGAATTGCTCGTGCTCTAAAGAGTACAATCACGTTATTTTTCGAAAATCCCAATTTCCATTTAACACACACGCAAAACGTGAACATTCAGATCGTGTCGCGCCGCTGTAATTACAGTATGATCAAGTAATGTATAAATGAAGATAAGGAAAAAAAGAAACGAGAGAGTGCGATGAATCTGTGCATCTTAAGGGAAGTTGAAAAAGCTGCATTCGCAAAACGCAGTAACGCAAAACAGGTACTTTTCACGTGGGTGTAGCAACTAAACTATTTTATCATCCTGTTCTTCTTCAGACTACTCAATCGTTGAGCGGGGATGGATGATCACTACACGTGGGGATCGTGTCACGCCAAAAACGGGTTTGCGATCGAGATCTGTTATTCAAACAGAAGGAAGATCGTGTTACATTACTTTTCATTAATGAAACCCTCTCCCCACCTGGCGCATTGATCTACAATGTACCTAATTATAGAAAAAAAAAAAGTAACTACAAGATCTTAAGAAGAGACATATACAAGACAGTGAAATCATTATATGTACATGTGATATGTAACATGATTTTTTTTTTCTACACCTTTCATCCTCCTTCCTTGCAGCACTCTTTCTCCTGCCGAGTATTTACTTTGTTTTATTACTTTGTTATCTCCTTCTAATAATATATACATACAGTAGGTGAGAACTTTTTCGCTTCTCGGTGAATCTATACGCGTGGAAACTAAATCTGCGGCCCTGGTTAGTTTGCGCCGTCGACTAATCTTAGCATTTGAATTTGTAGTTACGTAAGGTCCAGTAACCCGACGGCACAAAATTAGGATCCAAGCTCCTCACGGCTAGACGAAAACTACGACGACGTCGAGTGTCACGATGGCGGCAGCAATGGCAGGAATGGCAGCAGTGCTGCAGCAGCGGCGGCGAATGACTGTTGATCGGAATAGCATACAGTAACGATGCTTTATCCCGAACGTTATCTGCTCGATGGAACGGAGGACACGCGGTTTGTATAGCTGGCCAAAAGAAAAAAGCAGCCAGCGACCTTAGTTTGGTGTCGCTAAAACACGAAGCAACTTCTTCCTCCATGGAGCTAAATATACAACGAGTTGCCAGCGGCTTTATCGATACACGATGTGCTCTAGTGTTGCACCGCTAGTAGTATAGTATCCCTCTACTCAAAGTAACACCACTTTTCTCCTTTTTCGTCGATAATCAAACATTATCGTGCGAATGAAGGAAAATAATATCATCGACGACGTCAATTATCAATAATCGCGATCTATTGAAAAATTCAATTTCGACTAAAATATAGCAAACAATGTGAAAAGAAAAAAAAACGATCTTGTAGGAAGATCGATAAGACTAAAAGCAAAGTGTTGTACATGTAGGTATATATTGAAATTTCTCGATGTTTCTAAATGCACTGCTGCGACGATGGATGCAGTTGAAATTGAAAGTTTCGCGCGTTTACAAGTCGTTGCCAGCACAATAGCATCCGCCTATCGTTGAAAAAGTAACATAAATCAATAAGATCGAATCAAGTACGTCATAGTACGTATTACGAAACGAAATTTCACACAACACTTTAGTATCTGTGTGGAAAATTGCATCGTAATAGTGACAACAGTCGGTGACCCGTAACACGTTTGGAAGTTTTCCAAAAGACGATCGTAACACCACGCGAGACGTTAATTATTAGCGATGTGCTCTCACCACATTTGAAAATATTCTACTCTATCTTTTGGTATGGTATATTAATCTTTCATTTCCTTTCTTCCTGCCTGCTGCTGTTTCTCCTCTTCTTCGTAAAAACAAAAGGGCAAAAGAAAACCTGCTTTCTAAATTCTCCTTGTGTCAATTTTATATCACCGACAACGTTACAAACAAAAGAAACAGAGAGAGAGGACAAACGTTTCTTCGGAAACTATAACAACTGTCGGAGTGTGTGTAATCTTCGTGACATAAGCATGCGTACGCAATGTCCGGTATATTTTGCATTGAATACACCCCGATTAAAAGGCATTCAACATGCAAACAACTCTTATAGTACTTCCACTACATCAATGAATATAACTTATCGTATAACTTGTGAAAATACGGTTCATCTTTCGGTGGAGCTATACGAAAGAAATGAAATTCCGCGTTTAAATGATTACTCGATGAATCATAAAAATGAACGTAAGTATTAATTACATCGTTCTGATTGACTGATGTACTCCATTTCCTTTTCTTTTCGTTGATTGTACGTACTTTTTCCCACCTTCTCCTCCTCCTCCTGTTCTTTTTCTTCTACTAAATTTCTGGATGACGCGAAAGGGAATTGCTGTTGGAAGTGTGGAAACACGTGGTAGGTCGATCGTGGACGTTTCGAGCTTACGGTTAAACGGTGCCACGGGGTTTACAAAGATATTCACAGGGATTCTCGACTTTATTGATATACACGCGCTTGCAGGCTATCTCCAGAGATACTGTACTCGTCGTCCTATCTCGCGCACCGTCATGTCTCAATACATATTTTCGAAAATGGTGAAAGCCAACGGACGCAACGTAATACAACTGTGTACGAATACGCAACACGTGATCGTTTCGAAACAACCATGTTCGGCATTTCTTTCTTCTATAGCAATTTCTTTCGATAAATCGACTAATCCTGTCTATGTCTCCTTTCAACGTTACGTTATATGTATACACACACGCACGCACGCACACACACGTTCTGCAACGTTCATCGTCAACCTGTTTCAACAGATTCGACCAACATGTTTCCCTTTTTATCAATTGGGTGAAATTATGCAAAATAACCACACAACGAAAAGTATTTTGAAATAGCAGTGAAAATAAGTATGTATCGTATATATGTATAATAAGTAGTAAGTAATCAAAGAAGATATATACGTTTACGTTCTTTCTTACGTTGAGCACGCGCAGCGCGTGATGAGTGAGGAAGCGAATGAGCGAGAGAACACGAGCATGCAAGAGGGAAAAGCAATAAATGCCACGAGGAAGGATGGGCGCCAGTTGCGCAACAGGCATGATTTTTCGTGGCAAACCTGGAACCGTAACCCCACCACCGGCGATGAACAATAATCGATCATCAGTCGAAATCAATTATTCAATGTGAAGAAAAATTCTACTAAATGTTGTTGCTTTTTCAACCATTTTTACCTCCAACTCGTAATAGCCATTCGTCGCACGATAATTCATCGACAACAACACCACACGTTTCGTGCGCTGCTACATACAAACTACATACATACATACGTATATAGGTATGTATAATACATACATGTACGATACATCGCCTGATACGGTTCGTAAAATAAAAAGAAACAGCTCTTGACATACACACGTACATATGTACGTTGCTAATCCGTCTAGAAAATTCCCCCGATAAGTCTAGTGTTAAATCTCGACGATGATCGTCGCGCTTCTTACCTGTCACAAACATATTCGCATGCTGAGAGGCGGAGGAATTGTCGTTACGCGGTGGTGGTGGCAGTGGTAGTGCCGGTGGTGGTAGTGCCGGTGCTGGTGGAGTTGGTGGTACTACCGTCGATGATATCGTGCGACGACAATCTGTATTTCGCGATTGACGAGGAGGAGAATGATGCTCCGGCTGTTGATCGATTTGATGGTTATGTTGATGATGTTTGTGCCGATGATGATGACGATGGTGGTGATGGTGGTGATGACGGTGGTGATCGTTGTTTCGATGGTGACGGCGATGCCGATGATGATCTTGTTGTTTCTGTGAATGTCGATGATGTTCTTGCTGATCATCGTGATAATATTGGTTGTGATATTCATGAGGGTATTGTTGTTGTTGTTGTTGTTGTTGTTCTTGTGTACCTGTCATTTTGTCGGTACTGCCTTTTCGTTCCAAGTGCATAGCGGCTGGCGGTAACATCGCGTTCTTGTATTTACAACAACTTGAACAGCTCGATATACATGTTCCGTAAATTATCTCGACTCGCAATTCAGTTCAACTCAGGTCAAATCATCGGTTGGGAATCTGATCGGAAAACTTGGTACCATCTGTCAAATCTTCAATCGGCACGTATATACACGACGAACCTACTTCGCATAGTTCTATTTCTCATATAGCGTTATTCCCTTGTGTTCTACGAACAACAAACGGCAAACAACATTTACTTCTTCCCTAGTTCCTTTTTCTCTTCTTTCTCTCCTGTCCATTACTACTGCTATTACCACTACTACTACTACTACTACTACTACTACTACTACTACTACTACTACACTACTGCTGCTGCTGCTGCTGCTACTACTACTACTACCACCACCACGCAACCACCGCCGCCACAACTACCCCCACCACTACCACCACTACCCTGTGTGGTATCTTGATGCAGTTTGTGCAGATGGTTCGTGACGCAAGTGACACAAGACTTCTTCCCTTTACTAGAGACGTACCGCGGCCGGCGGGGTAATCTGTGATGTTCCGACCACGATGAGATATTCACTCAAACACGTTGCTGCTCTTCTCTCTTTACCGTCCAACGATATATACATACATACATACATATATATTCATCGCCGATGGTTTTAATTATTAAAATGACCATCGATCACTGCGACCGTTGTATTTCAACACTTTTCATCACATGATACACGGCTACATATAAGAATCTTCCACAGAAACTTTGCGCGTTTACTCTCGTATTATAAACGTTACGCTCTTACTTTTTTTCTCTTTCGAGACACTCTTACAACCAGTTCAGCTTCTTTAAAATTCGATCGCAGTTGAACTTTGTTGCCATTATCTGTTGTCTTGTTCGTTCATCTCTTGGTGTCGAGAAATGTTCCGTTTCGTTCTTAAAGTGTTCTGTACATACACTGGACAAATTGCTGGTGGCCGGATTGCAGCAAAACATAAGGAAGGAAGGGGGGAGGGAGGGAGGGAGAGAGAGAGAGAGAGAGAGAGAGAGAAGTAACTTCGTCTTTCTTTCGTTTACTTTGAATCGCATCGACACACTTACTTCTACTAGTTTCACTTCTTTCTATTTGCAACGATTAAAAAATAACAAACTAACCGAATGCAAAAATATCTTTTGTTACTTGCATTGAACAACGTTCAGGAACCGATCAAACTCAGCCGCACGACGTCCACGACGCGACTGGGCTAACCATGTCGGAAGAAGCCGGCTTCTTACTTGACAGAGACGTCTGACAAGAGGCAAACCAAACACGAGAATGAGTGCATGTGCGCACACCAGAGAGAGAGAAAGATTTGCGCGCGCGTACCCACTTCCCGCTTCTTTGCCCGCCAGCCCACCGGCTCCCCAGCAGCTAGCAAGTCAGCCATTAGACTCTCACCGTCGCGTCGTGCCCGTCTGCCCCTTCTCCTTACCGCAAGCCAACAATCCCCCGCTCCGTCCCCCAAAACCCTCTATTTGCGTCTTTCCCGCCATAGAGACTTCATAAGTATATATGCATGCATGTATATCGAGAGCCCCGTTTGCCGGTGCCCTAGTAACGATAGCGTGTGCTATCCCCACCAGAGTACGTCGTATATCGTTTATTGGCGGGAAACACATTCCACTATACGAAACAACTGTTTAACCGGTATTCAGAGGCCGCCGCCACCGCCGCCGTTGCTATTTGAATATTAGACATTGAAACTTGGAACTTTTCATCGTTATCGCTTCTCTCTTAATTCGTCCCTGTTTCCTTCCTTCTTTATCTTTTCCTTTCAATTTCATACTACCTCCCCACCATTGTCTTTCTTTTTTCTTTGCCTATACTACACTATGCATAAATATATACATATAACGTATTTAGGCATTTATATATGTACATATTTCGTTTCTTTCTCCTTTCGTCACAACTCCATCTAAACACTTATTTGATCGGTCATTATTATTACAATTTGAATATTTTATTTCAACAGGAATGCGCGACGTTATCGAGTGGGTATTTCAACAAGTCTCTAGTTTCATTTTTTCCTCGTGCTTCTTTTATTTATTTACTCATCTATTTATTGTACTTGATATCGCTTCTTTAAATTACGATCGCGCCGTTATCTAGTGCACACTCAGTCAGATGAAAAGAGAAACGAAATGAAAATTTTATGTGGTTATCGCGTACGTGGTTTCGAAAAAGTATCATATTCGTTCAACACCACGCTTCTAAAAAGGTAGAGAGATACGAGAAGCGATAATATGCGATAAGGTTACGAGATAGAGCATAATCTAGGAGCAGAAAAAGCATGAACGTTCGAAACGTGCGACTAGTCGGACGACAAAACGCGCCACCTTCCATCCATACCAACGTGTCATTTAAAGAGTTATTTTTACACAGTGCGCGTACATATTTGTGCACCCGGATATTTCATCACTAAATATCACCACCCCTCCCCCACTTCTTCTAAAAGAATGAAAGAAGGAAAAAAGAGGAAGCAAAGAGAATAGTGTAAACGATCTATAGATATTTCTTCTTTTCTCTTTTGGTTAAAAGGGTTCTTCCAGTGACTGTTTACATTTCTACTTTCCTTACTCAAGGAGATACGATTTCGTCTAAATTAAAAAGAAACCACCCAGTTTTCTCGATTTTCGGTGTCATTATT